ATGTAATGTCCACAATTGGTCTTCTCAGTGTATGCCCGATCCATCTCCACTTCATTCTAAATATTTATTTTCTGGCACCAATGAGGTATTTAATTACATAATAAAGTACAAGTAAGTTGTACAATACTTCACTCTTTCCTATTATGTGGCCGTGAGATGTGATCGTTAAAAGCAGATATAAATAGAGTACAGTATTTGGTCAGATGTCCCCGCAGTATTGTTCACCTATGGTAGAATCACCGTGTGAGCAATACTGACACTATTTGAAGAATCCTAGGCAAGAAAGATAAGTCAAGAGATGAACTTCACTGACCGACATGGTTTGGATATATTCTGCGCACACCATGTCACCACCTACCTTAATATTCAATACTATCCGAAGTAGTTTTGAGAAGGCTCAGCGTGGCTGGACTAAGGCGTCTCATCATTTGATGACTCCTTTGATTGTTAGTTCAAGCAGTATAGGCATGCCTACGTTTTCTGACCAGTCTTGGAGAGGATAAGAATCAGTGGATGGGAACTCTTGGTGATATGTCACAAAATTGACTGCCAAGGTGCAAATGTATGCACTCTTCAAAATAAGAATAAATCTTAAGCTCTGTAGTAGAATGTAATCCCATTAAAGTTCATTTACTAAATGTACACAGTGAAACAGTATTTTTTTTAATGGATTAAGCTTTAGACATAATCTTTCGTTCATGGTCATATTAAGATGACTTCACAACTTTCAAACATGGTTTATGTAGTTCCTATTCTCTTTATCTTTGTGGTATACCTGTACAAGGCTGAAACTTGGTCACAATGGCGTAGACAATATTCACTCCTTGACGTCTTCTAAAACACTGAATATTCATACTAACTTTTATCATCCGACTTTTTATTATCTCACCCTACTTTATCCCCTTTTATATCCACCTATCTTTGTATGCTAATGAGAAGTTTTGCAACTTGAACGCATACACTCCTATGCAAGGTTCTACGAGGTTCAGATATAGACTCCATTGATGTTGTAGGTATATATGCACCGTGGTAAGGAATTCAGTAAAAGCTGGCCAAATCACAAAAAAATAATGGTGGATGAAGACACGCAGACGAGTCCTACTCAAGATACATGTGACAGGTATTCCATTGAGACTAACAGTTTCATTACTAGAGACACTGTTCAATCTATCGACAAAATCATACAAAAAACAAAAACACCTCATCAATAGGAGTGAACACTGAGTCAGCTTGGCAACTGAATTCCTAGACAAAATAAAAGATTAACAGATGATGACGAAAGGATGGCATCTTTTGATGTAACCTCCCTCTTCATTTCAACTAATGAGTATTTTTCTGAAAAACCACCAAACCGTTTCTGACTGTAAGAAACTCACTGTTCTAACCTAACGGAGTTGATCAATTTATGCCTCGTGACCTGATTACAGTCCAATGGAAAGATTTACGAACAAACAAAAGGGACAACTATGGGAGTCACCAATATCAGGATTGATTAGTGAAGTAGTAAGAGAACCAAAAATTTGGATTCGGTACATTGAATATATATTCGTAATTTTCAAGGAGGATGAAATAGAAAACATATTCAAACTTATCAACCAAGCATTTAAAGGAATTCAATTCACAAATAAGAGAAGGGAATTACCAATAAATTTCTGTTCTTAGATGTCCCCTTCAGGAGAATATACGACAGAACTTCTTAAACTCAAATTTACAGGAAAATGAAAGATGAAGATCAAATTTTGAACTAAATCAGCAATCATCCTACAGTCTATAGGAAATGTTGTGCAAAAACACACTTCTCAAAAGTTAAAAACATATTTCAGCACTATAGAAACTGGAAAGAAAAATATCTGTGCAAAGTGTTCAAAGCCAATGATAATCCATTCAACTTAAAAGTATTTATCAGTAGAACAGAAGATAATGCAACTAACTCAATTCAATAAACACATTACTCTGCCTTACATCAAGGATGTCTTACAGACTGCCAATTGATGGCTTTATTGCTTAAGAATAGATGTAGTATACAAACTAAGGGAATCACTACGAAGAGTGTTGTGCAAACAAAAAGATCCGTTTCCAAGAGATGACAAGACAAATATAATCAACAAAATCAACTTTAAAAACTGTTCACAACATTAAGTTGGCTAGTCTAATTGCCAAATCGCTCAAAGAATTCCCAGCAGTGAAATTACACGATACAACCTCTTTGGTTTCAATGCACACAGACAATAACTATCATAAATTCAATTGAAAAAATGAGAGTCTTCCAAAGGGAAAACTTAAAAGTTTTAAGAGAATTTCTAGAAGCACATCATCCCAACGAAAACTCCATCAACATGTATGTGGACATATAGATCCAATCAGCAATCTACTTCGGCATAAAACAGCCACCCACCAACCAAGTGCAAATCGTTTAAATAAATCAACACCGAAGCACATTGTGACAGTAATAAATGACACAATTTCACTATAAGAAAGACACTGTATTAACATGACCAAATGAAATCTAACGTCGAAGAAGTCAAGGTGTGATAAAGATCTCTTCCCCAACTTGTGATTGGACAACACCTAAGGTCAACAAAAAGACTACCTAACCATTCATATAACGCTTGAATATGCTTCACTTCCTTATGAAGTTAGCACTGAGGACTTCACCAAGCCTCAGCATTAAACATCCAGGACAAGGCATCAAATTTTAGAGAACTCGAAACCTTCAACAACCAATTGGTTACATTAGCAGGTTACCTATTAAAGTAAACTATTATTACCGCATCTCATTTCTTCATGTACTTACATGTTGATGTAACCCTTTGTAAACACAATCAAGACTCTCAACATTTGGTACCAATGTCGAATAAGATTATTAAATTTTTTCATTTTAATTGGTACTTGATAGCCGTACAGAAACCACTTTTATGCAACATTATAACAAGTTTTGGACCTATATGTGGTTATGCTAAATTGTCTAACTTACGTTTCTCTCTCAACTCTGACTTTAAGCCTAACCTACAAAACATCTAATTAAACATTATGAAGTAAATAATCAAATAACTAATCAATTTCCGCGTTTACAGACTAAACGACTGGTTTGTACCTATGTTGTACACAAATACACATACATATAACTAGTTTTTAAGATTGAATTCATCATGGGCTGACATCAGTTACGAAATCGTTTAAAACTCGAGATGACTGTTTTGTCCTCGTACACGACTCATCAGCAGTATGCATACACGCCACAGCTAGGGATCAAAATCAGGACCTTCAGGTGTCACGACGAACAGGTTAACCTCACTGCTCACAGCTCATCAGTGACGTGCTTTGATATGAACATCTCGAAGTTCTAATGAGAAGCTATAAACAGTGGCACCAGCCAGTTGGAAGTAAAGCGGACGTCAAGTGAAGACCTTGGTGAACACTCAAGCTATGTCAAAAATTGTCAGAAGTAGAAAATCTGGACCACTGAACCTTAACTCATTGGTTGAATGGTTAACGCGTTCGCAACGAGGTCTGAAGCTCTTGGGTTAGAACCACAGCTGGGCGTGGTCGTGGGTGCGTACTGCTGAGGAACCCATACTAGGACGAGATGACTATCGAGTCCTTCCAGGTTTTCAACAATTCCCCAACTGATGTCAATCCATCATGAATACAATCTTAAAAATAAAATCGCCACAAACTTAAAAATATATAACTAATTAGTAGTAAACATAAACTGCTTTTCTGTACACTATACACACAGAGAAAATGTCACTGCTTTCCAGAAATAATTATGTTGTTTATATATGTCTTTGACCAAATTGCGACGCTTCGCATCATCATAGAACAGAGTATAGAATGATAGTCAACCTCAACTTCATCGACTTTGAAAAGGTGTTCGACAGAGTCGACCGGGAAGTAATTTGACAGCTGCTTCAACACTACGAAATACCATAAACCTTTACCAACCTCATTCAACTACTATATGAAGACACCACGTGACAAGTAATTCATAACTGGAAGCTCACTGATGCTTTCGAAGTGAAGAAAGGGATAAAACAAGGCTGTCTACTATCACCCATGATATTCCTGATTGTGTTCAACTGACTGCATCATGCAGCAAACAGTGGGGAGCGAGAAGAGGGGGATACGCTGGCTGGACAGGGGAAAAGAACTTAGAAGATCTGGATTTCGCCGACGACTTGTGTCTAGTGTCGCACAAACTTGAAGATCTACAGGCAAAAACTAACAATTCGGCAGAAGAGGCAGCGAAGGAAGACGGGATTTCAAGTGAATATAGAGAAGGCAGAGGTGATGAAGGTACCCAACCAATAACAACAGCAACGACAAGCTCCAATCACCATCAACAGAAGGAACTTAAAGGAAGTAGCCTCCTTCACCTATCCATCTAGGCAGCACTGTTTCAACTACAGGTGGCACAGACACAGACGAGGATGTTAAAGTCAGAATCGGAAAAGCAAGAGAGGCGTTCATTAGCCTGAAACCAGTGTGGAGATCTTCTGCACTCAGCATAAGGCATGAACAAGATCCGGGTTTTCAACACCAACGTCAAGTCATTGCTTCTATGTGACGGTTCAGGAACTTGGCGCGTTACGAAAGGTATTTCCAACAAACTACAGACATCCATCAACAACTGTCTACGCTGGCTCGTTACTGAAGATCAGATGGCCAGAATGATAAGAATAAGCAACAAGAAACTCTGGCAACGAACCAACCAAGGACCTATCGCTCAACAAATATGCAGAAGGAAGTGGAGATGGATTGAGCATGCACTAAGATCATTAGGAGACATTAAGCGCTACGCCAGTCTCTCGAGTGGAACCCAGATGGGAAGCGACGAGTTGGGCGTCTCAGCTGACGGTGACATGGAGGAGATCGTGAGAGGAGGAAATGAGAGCTTCTAGGTTGTCGTGGAGCCAGGTTCAAAAGATTTCAGAGAACAGAGTGCACTGGAGATATGTTACTGAAGCCCCATGTTCAATTAGGAACCCAAGGGACAAATATAATAATAATATATGTCTTTATTTAGTCCATAAAAATCGTTATATAAGAATTAGTGTTTGTATTAAAAAGTATGTGTCCAATTTTTCAATAATATTGAAAAAAAATCCGCCAAATACAAAATAATAATTAAAGAAAACAAATTGATAAAAATAATGTGTTTGCATCAGTTTTTATCAAAATAGGAACTGATAAACAAATGAATGCATAAATTGAAGATTGCGGAGATATTCGCATCAGTTCAAGTGGTAATAATAATGATAATAATAATAGTGATAAAAACAAAGTCAAATGAGATAGGGATAGACAACTCTTCTGTATCAAATCTTAGAAAGGAGAGAAAACAAAGGATCAGATCATAGCCTATTCATAAAACAATTTTCTTTAAAATCATGACCATTAAGTAACATCGTATGGAAAAAATATGAGCAAGAAATTGGTATTCAATCAGATATAATGTTAACTAATATTATAATAAAATCAGTTATGACAGAAAGAGCTCAGTAGATGACCGCTGACGTTGCCACTGTATTTATCCCACAGGTACCATCACCTCGATACATGCGGAAATAACCCTGGAAGAGAATAGGAAATAGGTAGAGTAACATATATATATACACGCACACACAGATACATACAAACCTATAAATGTATTCATCATCAAATTTCAAAGTCCACAATACTTTTCTGCAAATGGATAAAAATCTACCATGAAAAAAAAAATTCAACCCGAATAAATTACTTTAAAAACACCCTTAGCGGGGTCATATTGGTACGCACTGCTGAAGAGTCCCATACTAGGACGAAACAGATGTCCAGTGCTCTCAGATTTTCAATATTTCTCCAACTTATATCAACCTGAAATCAACAAGTCCCTACCATATCACTAAAAGTATTGTTCCACTTTGACAAAAAAAAAAGAAGTTAGTTCAGTGTCTATTTGACAAGACAACAAGAATGAAATCTGATGCTAAGAATGATAAGAAATACAAATTTGATGAACTTACTGAAACAAAAATCAATTTATTCCAAAAATCTCATAAAGAAGAATATGATAAGAATGGACAAGCTAGTCATTTTTCACCTTTAACAAAAGTAAGAACTATTCTTAAGCCTTTAGTTTAAAGGTGTTAATCTAGCCGGAATTATTGTAAGTAGACTTCAACACTCATCAAAGAAGATATGTTCTGAAGTCATTCAGCAATAGATGTATCTTATCACCATATTTGAAAGATAGGATTTCATAAATTCAACCTGCTTCTAGTTATTTGCAATCCATTATGGGAAGTTTTTCACAACCTACAAAATGACATCTTGTGATATGTCTGGCAAAGAAAGAAGTATAGAAGATTAAAAGTATCATTCAGTCCCACCTAATTCATACTGATGTTAAGCTTGCTTTTTCATAAATTGAATGTTATAGACAGTAAGAATTCACCTTCTTCAGAATGCCGAAGATATTGTAATAAAACGTATGAAACCTCTGCTTTGTGTCAAATAATATCTCAGATATTCTTTTGTTTTTCAGTGGCCATTCACAAAGATGGAAATCATGTTATTCAGGTATACAATGACTCAACTAACTTGTACATACTCTGTGTTATTCTCATTTAGAACTTTAATTTTTGTTAGTTGGATGGAGGTAGTCGACACGAAGCCTTGTTTGACCTACGTTTTGTGTCTGTTGGCACTTGTCAGCAAAGCGTATATCTGCAACCTCTACAGAACTGATGTCCCGTCTGAGGTTCGAACCCGTATCACCTATGTTGCAGTGGAGACGTTACCTTTCAGTTATTTGCGCTGCGACGAACATCTTGTAAGATTGGATTTTTATTTCTCATTTGATCTAATATCCCATCTCTGATATTCGTCATAGTACAGTAGTAATAGTAGGCATTAACCTTGTACAGATTCGTGTAGTCGGCAATGTGCCGCACCTCTTGTGTCAGGGCTAGTGATACTACCTGGTTGCCTGAAACTGTATATGGAGCGGGGTTCGAATTTGTGACCTATTGGTTGATTGTCATCTTCCTAAACTACCGAGTCACAGCTCCAGTCAATAACCTCACTGCTATACAGTTAACCAGCTTTCTTGGCTTGGTCAGATATGAACAAGAGGTAACTTAGTCACTATATCTAGGCGTAACTACTGTCACACTGAGTAGGCACGGCAATTGCGATAGGATGTCACTTACTGATTGAGGGAAGATGTATACTTACCTTTTCACCCCATTCAACACCCCAACTATTTTTAACAATCCAAAAAGGTATATTCTCTTCAGAAACTCCATAACCAACAAGTAGAACAGCATGATCAAGCATATATTTTGAACAGAATATTTTCCATGGGTGACTGATTCCGTGTCGATAGAACTGAATATATAGGAAATGGATATAAATTACATAATATGCAATAAGTAGAAAAAAGTTTGCAAAAATACGAAAATGATTCTAATTAGCGGTTGCGAGAAACGACTAAATTCAGAATAGCAATTATCATAGACTAACATCACTATGAGAATCGTTGTCGCGTGTGTTGATGGAGGTGTGAGTGATGAAATTTCCAACCCCATATCGAAAGCCGGAATGGCATTCAACAATCTAGGCCACCTTTGGCGCCATCCTCACATTAGTCTGACTGTAGAGGGTAGAGTTTACAACGCTTCGATGCGAGCACTTCTGCTCTTCGCCTGTGAAACCTGGCCTCTTCGAGCTGAGGATGTGCGACGACTCTGTGTTCAATCATAGTTTTCTCCGTAGGATTGCTCGCAACCAGTGGGAACACTATGTAAGGATTGCTAAGCTGCGATAGAGTGTGTTTAGACATGATGGAGATCATCATTCAATGAGTGAAGTCATCTGCAAACATTGACTTCGGTGGCTCAGACATGTGCTACACATGTCATCCCAACGCCTTCCATACCGTCCATTGTTTGCTAGCTATGCGACTGGATGGGAGGAGAGGAAGGGTGGTCAGTGTATGACGTGGAGCCGTAGGATGAAGGATAGTTGTATTGGGTTAGCACCTATTGGTGCATCATGACTCCCTGGGTGGGGTCCAAGAGACCCCCCAACTCAACGGCTTCAGACGTTATCAGTTATGGCTCAGCATCAGAACCACTGGCGGTCATGCTGTAGCTTTCATCTAACTTCTGCTTCTGAAAGGCAATGAATGTTTTGTTTTGAATATATCTTACTGGACTGCTTTTCTAATCATGCCATTCTTATTGGTTTTCTTTTATACTTATCCACATCCCATCGCTCATCTCTTCACAATATTGTTATTGTACTTTATGTGGCGCATTTCTTGGTGCCCTTGTTCTGTCAAGTTTGTATTCTAGTAATAATAATGAGTACATTAGAAAACTATTTTTTCCTAGTGTGGGAATCAATAGTCAGCATCCGGAACACCAGGTGAAGGACCAAACCTAGGAACCATCAGTTTGGGTAGTGAGGACGTTGCAATTCAACCGCTGAGTTGGAATTCAACGGCCCTCATCTAACTAATTTTAACAAATACCTAACCTATCCGATTATCTGCTCAAAGGTTATTTATAACTGAAAGCTATGAAACACTCTGTTGATCGATATCGGCACAAAGTTGACACAACATACGCACCCAGATATATGCCACACATAAATAGCCTTTCCACTTATTCATAAACTTAGTCATTGTCTCCATATTTTCGTGAAAATTAGTTGAATAAAAAGTCGATTTTCCAGTCAGAATAAATATAACTCGATAAACGGAAAAATGCAGTAGGCATACCACAACCTGTCACACAGCTAAACAGAATAACTAGTCACTAACGCTACTAATTGACAGTTCAAATACAAGTCATTAAAGCGAATATGGATTCATAACTAATAGATCAAATTCGAAAGTATTTCAGTTGATTCAGATTCGGAAACACGATATGATAAGATCTGAGATTGAACACTGAAACAGTAGCACGAAAAATCAATCTATAGGTACTTAACTATGATCCATAACATTATTATTTATCCTTAGCGTGCCTAGTGGGAAATAGGGCTTCAGTAACTCGTCACCATTTCACTCTCTTCTCTCAACTCTTTACAACCTGCCTCCACCACTGCTCACAAGCTTCTATTTCTTCCTCACACCATCTCACCCTCAGCTGCGACGCCCAACTCGTCCTTTCCCATTTCGCTTCCACTCAACGGCCCGGCAAGGCGCGTGATGTCCCCCAATGGTCTTCTCAGTGTATGCTAATCCAATCCAGCTCCACTTCCCTCTGCATACTTCTTGAGCGATGTCCCCTAGGTTGCTTTGTTCCCAGCCAGCCAGCCAGCCAGACTTCCTTCTTGATTATTCTTATTATTCTGGTCATCTGATCTTCAATATCAGTATCCAGTGACTGTTAGTGCTAGCTGTTGATGTGGTGTATATGTGCAGTTTGTTGGAAATGCTCTCCGTAACGCACCAAGTCTCTCAACCATCACATGGAAACACTGACTTACTTAACTGATATTAGTGTTGAAAATCCTCATCTTGTTCACGCTTTATGCTGAGTGCAGTGCAGTGCAGTGCAGTGGAGTAGACCTCCACATTGATTGGTTTCAGATTAATGCAAGAAGGCCTGTCTTGCTGTCTTCCCGATCCTGGCTTTGACATCCTCACTTGTGCCGCTGCCTGCACTTAAAACGATGCTGCCTAGTTAGGCAGGTGAAACAGACAACTTCCTTCAAATTCCTCCCGTTAACGATGATCGATGCCTGTTGTTGTTGTTGTTGTTGTTGTTGTTGTTGTTGTTGGTGGTGGTGGTGGTGGTGGTGGTGGTGGTGGTGGTGGTGGTGGTGGTTGGGTATCTTCATCACCTCTGTCTTCTCTACCTTCACCTGAAGGAAGTCCCGTCTTCCTTCACTACCCTGCCTCTTCTGTCAACTTGTTAATTTTCGTATGTAGATCTTCTGGTTTGTGGGATATTAGACATAAATCATCATCATCATCATCGGTGAAGTCCAAGTCTTCTTCTCGGGTCTTTTCATCGGTCCAGTCAGCGTATGCCCCTCTTCTCACTCCTCACAGTTGTCTGCTGTATGATCCAGTCCAGTCCAGTCCAGTCTGATCTAGTCGAGTCGACCACAATCAGGAAGATGATCGGTGAGAGTAGGCAGCCTTTTCTTGCTCCTTCCTGTCTTCACTTCAAAGGCAACGTTGTGAATCACTTGGCATGTAGCATCATCCTGCAGTTGTTGAATGAGGTTGATAAAGGTTTGTGGCATTAACGAAACATTGAAAATTGAACAAGGAGCGATGACGCAAAAACAGGTTCCAGAGAGAAGAATAAGCGTATTTATTTTGCACTTTGATTGATAATGATCTAAGCATGAACATATGTATTTATAAATTCATATGAAGACCTTAACAGTAGACGGTTTAGAACATAAGTTTGTAAAGAGAAATGAGAATTTCTGGATAAGTTTTTTCATTTTCAAACAATCTGATTGAAAATAATTGATTTCCTGCTAATTTTAAGCTTGGTTTTGTTTTTACGAAATACGATTTCCAAAGATAAATCAATTATTTCTAAGGAAATAACTGAGCTTAATGTTTCTGAACGACCTAAAATTAGCCAACAAAAATGTTTAGTTCAGATAGCAAAAGGTTTCGATGTAATTGGGATAACCTCTATTTCGCATAATGCTAGTTTTTTGCGAATAGATTTTCCCTTCTTCATAATACTTAGTATGATGGCTTTCACTGATGCTTATCACATCGTGAAACAACAAACAGCTGTTTCAATGGATCCTAAAACCAAACATGATCCTATTTGTCGGAAATAAACGTCGATAAATGAAAAATACGTCATAAATAGGTTAGGTTGTCAACTTTCAAGTTACAGCTCGGTGTATGTAGTACTTTTATTTTCAATTATTTTGTGGTATGTTGTAGTTCGGTTAGTGGCTATCAGTCAAAACAAGGACGTGTATTTCGTCCTATCTGGGATTCGTCAAGTGAATGTACTCACATCCCCGTGAGTGATGTTGTCCCCACTCGGACTTGAACCCAGTAACTATAGCTTCAAACGCTAAAGCGTTAACAACTACGCCACTGAGGCAAGAGTATCAGATGTTGTTTGATACTTGTAACTTCCCATTGTTAAACAGGGTCGAATTCTTCGAACTCTCTTAGGCAGATGGACTCCTAAGATCCTAAGATATCTAACTCTTTATTTTAATGAGTAAAAATTAGAAGTTTAAAGTTTATCCAGTCGTTTTACAATCGTAGTGATATGTTATCTCTCCTTGGTCTTGGCACTCGACTTCCAACCGATAGGATGGTAAGTTCAAACCCGGCTCCACCTACAAAAGTTTGAGCAGGCAGATAGTATTATTCTTTCTCACACAATAAGTGTGGCTCGTTGCCTATTGTACGGGGCTTGTACAAGGTAGCTGAGTGGATATCGACTTTTAATTTGCACACATAGTAATTCAGAATAGTTTGAGAATTGACTGTATATGAAAATATGGATAAATGGAATCCCATTCAATATTCTAAAAGTTCATGTTGTTACAATGGAATTTGACCGTATTAACTTTACATTACCAAGGGAAGTCATAGGTGTATTTGCCTGAACTATTTCAGAATTTTGGCTCAACAAACATTTAGCGTAATTTAACAGTTCTAGTGACATAACTTAATTGAAATATAAGCCAAATAGGTAAAGCAGGATAAATAAAGGTTTAACAACAAACCTGTAAAAGCATTGCATTCATCCCAACACTAATTGTTGAATTATGATAAAGCCATATAGCTAGTTCTTTTTCATCTTCTGGTAGACTTACAGAACTATTAATATACGCTGCAATATTATCATTTTTTAAATGACATTTTTCATTCTTAGCATCATATGGATAGGTATCTTCACTCATTAGACCACCCATACGTATAATTGATTCATAAGCGTTCAGTGGCAGGCCGCCTCCACAACCATCATCAAGTTTGTCACAGTCAACAAGTTGCTAAAACAAATAAGAAAACTATAAGAGAAGAGTAGTATAACCAACATGAAAAGTGTCTATGACCACATATATGTATATATATATATATATATATATATATATATATACCTCAATTTTTTGTTATTTATTTCACTAAGTATAGAATGGCAGTCAACTCAACTTCATCGATCTAGAAAAAGCCTTCATCAGTGTCGACCGAGAAGTAATTTAGCAGCTGCTGCTTCAACACTATGGAATACCACAAACCTTTATCAACCTCATTCAACAACTGCAGGATGATGCTACATGCCAAGTGATTCACAACGTTGCCTTTGAAGTGAAGACAGGAAGGAGCAAGAAAAGGCTGCCTACTCTCACCGATCATCTTCCTGATTGTGGTCGACTCGACTAGATCAGACTGGACTGGACTGGACTGGATCATACAGCAGACAACTGTGAGGAGTGAGAAGAGGGGCATACGCTGACTGGACCGATGAAAAGACCCGAGAAGAAGACTTGGACTTCACCGATGATGATGATGATGATTTATGTCTAATATCCCACAAACCAGAAGATCTACATACGAAAATTAACAAGTTGACAGAAGAGGCAGGGTAGTGAAGGAAGACGGGACTTCCTTCAGGTGAAGGTAGAGAAGACAGAGGTGATGAAGATACCCAACCACCACCACCACCACCACCACCACCAACAACAACAACAACAACAACAACAGGCATCGATCATCGTTAACGGGAGGAATTTGAAGGAAGTTGTCTGTTTCACCTGCCTAACTAGGCAGCATCGTTTTAAGTGCAGGCAGCGGCACAAGTGAGGATGTCAAAGCCAGGATCGGGAAGACAGCAAGACAGGCCTTCTTGCATTAATCTGAAACCAATCAATGTGGAGGTCTACTCCACTGCACTGCACTGCACTGCACTCAGCATAAAGCGTGAACAAGATGAGGATTTTCAACACTAATATCAGTTAAGTAAGTCAGTGCTTCTAGGTGATGGTTGAGAGTTTTGGCACACACGCACTATCCTCATCTTAACCGCTACACTTAATTTCATCATCTCATTTTTCCTTCCTCGCTCTTTACTACTTTCTACTTCTACTTCCTTTGACTACTTTTTACTTCCTTTTTCATCTATTTTATTGCCATTGCTACTTGATGTGCTGATATGAGGTGTGGCAACTTGGACCGTTACGCAGTAATGACTGGCCCTATCTTGATCTTGACGACTGATGGTGGCAGTTGCTGAAAACAGTTTTAATTCTGAAAGTTTACTGGCTGGGCCTAAAAACTAGCAAACTAATGTGTAGAGTTTCGGGATTCTTCCCACAGATTGTGACTTACTGATTGACTAAGCATGATTGTATTAGTCTCGTGATTAAGTTAATATTTATTCGGAGTATGAATCAATTTTTCAATGGTTTCATTTAGTCAGTTAGTGACAGAACCAAAAGACTGTTTAGTGTGTATAGTACTATGAGACAATGCGTGGAGCACGTTTCAGCCGCTAAAGTTGGACTTGATAGGTGACCATATTGACTTGAAATACGGCGCTGGCCCTCAGTGTTAATGTAGGATCGGAAAGTCGTAACGGCCGCTCATAAAACATTACTAAAAAACTTTAGCCCACAGCAGTCGGTTCTCAAATATGAAGTGTAGAATCGCTGGAACTGAATAGATCTGTACCACTGAACTGTACCAGTCACGTGAAACTTAAAACAACAAGATGGGCTAGAGTACACATATATCTTTATGACATGACTGCTCCAATTTAAAATGTGAACATCACCATCTACACAAAGAACCCAGAAACAAACATTTCTTCCGACCATTTCCAAAAACCTATTCCAAACATAAACATAGGTTCCGAAAGATCTATTAGTAGTACTGGAAACCATTTATTTATGACAATATATGAAATCTGAGTTAATATATATGTTAGCCAAAGCCTTTGGCAAATTTTCTCTTTATCAACATTTTTTTATAACTGCAGTGAATGTTGCTTTAAACCTTTTTCTGGTAAACTGAAAAATTTTTTACAACCCCATGTTGGCTTGATATGCGGTTACAACACTTATTATAATCACCTTAGTAAAGTCGATTCTTTTTGGACGATCATTGCATTACAGTGACGGTGCGTAAATAATGCCCCATCCATAGTAGTTTGCGACCACAATCCTGGAAAGCACTCCAGAAAGAGAAGTTATCTGACCACATTTATAATAATCCATACCTAGTTGACATATTATGCTTTTATCCCGAAATTCAGTAGTAAAGAAAGGGATATAGGTAGAATATCAATGATAGTTGTATTAGACATGTACATTCAGAGTTTCAGCTGATATTCCAATGCTTTTTGGGAGAACATGTTAAATAAGGTCACTCTGTTTGTGATAGAATTAATCTTTAAGCATATCTGAAATCAGTCTGTTTCAAAAAGACAAAATTAGTTAGAAATAGTCTCCCTTGCTGGTTATTTCATACTTCGCTTAAATAGCTTAATCTAACACAAATAAGAATTCATTCAAATAGTATTTACCTGGTCTCATTCAGTTCAGTCGAAATGTACCCAGCAATCACTTGCATGTTTGTGCAGTAGGTAATGAACCAGACCCATTGTGTGAGGGCTAATGATACTACCTGGTTCCCTACATCTAGGTAGGCAAAGTGAGGTTCGAACGTGAACATGACCCACAAGTCGAAAATCAAGTGCCAAAACCAATGACTTACAACTTATGGGTGGATTTATTCGCACTGTGAGTAATTGTCTATCCTGCTAAACCACTTTATGAAGCAAGTAGTACCTGTTGTAACCATCTTACACGACATAAATAGACCAGTTCTTTGACCCATTTTTAAAGCAGATAAAATGATCTGGTGAAAGCATCGGACAACTAAATATGCTTCCCATAATTCCTAGAAAATCATTACTATCCCTTACTTTCGCTATCCAGTGATACTTATGCACGATTTACTTTTGGTAGGTAGAAACTGTCCTGCTTCTAGTTAACTGATCAAAACACAAATATGAATAATGTCAACTATTTGAGTATTTCACATATGAAACAAATACTATCGATTATGCACAATACCATCAACAAGGTTGATTAAACCAAAAAAAGTCGAACAATTTAGGCAATCCTAAATTTTGTAACTAAGTTGAGAGTACAACGAAAGGTGCTGAGAAATCTAACTAGGTATATCAATACTCCATTTGTATATTACGTAGAGGCAATATATAGTAAAAAAAATATATGCATATACGCAGGCCCTGGTTAACCGAATCATACGATAAAAAGTATACAAAAACAGATAAGACTTAAAGATGTTTAGTGGTTTGTACTGAATGGTGATGCTGCAAGTATAATTCGCCTACAACTTAAGAAAATCATACAGCTACACTTAGCATGAATCTCAGTCTAGATAAATAAGCGCATTAAGCAAAAAATGTAAGTATTGACAAACAACAAAATACTGACCTGTTCACTTAACGACAATAATTTTCCAGTTTTACGGAACCATTGACCTTCAATATTGCCAGTGGTTGAGAATGCCCAACAAGAGCCACACATGCCTTGATTCTTCACCTCAGTCACAGCACCTTTCTCTCTCCAATCAAAGTTAGTCGGTATATTTTCAGCTTTCCTGTTCACAGAAATCAGTCTTCTGGCTTTATCAGCTCCATCCCAAGAAGCAGTTAGATGAGTTTGTGCAAACTCCTCAGCTAGTATAAACAAGTGAATATTTAAGGCACGTAGAATACAAAGACTAACCTGTTAAGTCTGAATAAGGTGTAACTCCATAAACAGCTGAGCCTCTATCAAGAACTTGATATAATTGAGCTTTTAACAAGTTAGATTTAAAGGTGCTAAACCTCATGTCATCCTCTAAATACAAGAAGAATATTTAACTTTCAAATATTATTCATAACAACCTGTGCCTTGGTATTGTTTCCCATGTGTCAGCTTGAATATTCCATACACCTCCTCTACATTTTCAGGTAGCTTAAAACCTAGATACTAAAAGATAAAAACCAAGTGAAGTTATGAAAACTGCAAAACTGCTTGAGAAAAATATGGCCCAAATATCGAACTTACGTGAATTAGATATGAAGTGTTACTAAAATACATCGGCTAAAACTGCTGATTTTCTCAAGTGTGATGATGAGACATATATGATACCTAAGATGACTCATACTAATAATTCCTAATTACATGAAGTAATTTTATATTTTCATTTAGCAGCATGGAAACACTTTATACCCTGAGCCTGAAATTACCCATTAGGACATCACACAGCACAAGGGTTGATACTAACTCAAATTATTATCACTCGGTTCATCTGCGGTTTTTAAAATCTTATCAAGTTTGGGAAAACTGGGAAACTGGAAAAACAAATGTATTTGGTAAGAAACGTTTTGCTTATGACAACATAGACATTAAAATACAGGTTAACACTAAAATTCCCGAAAGGATGTGATATCGAAGCATCCCATAACATTTTATCGGCATGATGAGCATAAATGGTATATGCTCAAGATTCCAGAAACTCATATAAAGAGAAGTGGGTCTTGTAACCTTTACTTTCCACATATTCTGACTAACAAAATAGTATGTAGAAAGTGTTGAGTATACTTCAGTGTGATGAGTTCCGCAGACTGCGTCCTGCCTATCACTTCAACTAAATGACTTGTTTGCGGTTCCAATGTTTCAGGAGAAACATTCGCACTTTTTTAAACCATAGCCGATTAAAGGTAAGAACAGTTTTACACATGCCAAATTTTCGCACACCCTAGATGGTTTCACTATACCTCATGCGTAACCCACACCTAAAACAAGGATGTAGGAATCTGCGTATCAACACCTCTCGACAGCAAATGGATTGAAGCAGAAAGGGTAAGACAAACAAGTGATTTATAAACGTTATTGAACTCTAAAAGATTCATGAATAAGGATATATAGCTGCTCTGTTGAGATCAATTTACATCTATATTATTAGTTGTCTACAGCCAATGTGTATTTAGATCTTGATGATCTCATACTAGTCACCCGCAATTTACTATGAGACTGAGCATAAGATGTAAACACAACTCCTAACAATAATATCCCCGAGTCAATCTGTATCAAACTGTGGAAAGTGAAAACTGGATAGCTTCAATCGTAAATGAAAGAATAACTAGTCTAACAAATTTAAAGTAACTGGTCCTTTTGATAAATTTAAACAGCGTAATTAGAAGACGAAGGTTATCTGAAGCAGGTGATGTATTAACGCTATACATTTCCAACAATCTGATCACATATGGACTGGTTGAAATATGAAAATATGAAAATTTTGCGAATAGGGTCAATGAAGTAGATAGGAAATATAGGAAAATGAAGGGCAGATAAAAAGAAAAACAATCTTAATCACGTTACTCTTGTTATGAAAATTAAAATCAATACTACCAAGGTAGGTTCAACGTGAGTACAAATTGTTTTTGCATACATAAAGGGGGTTTAAATTTACGGATGGTAAGAGCTTCAATAAATTTAAGCACTCGGCTCTGACCACTTTCATGTAGTACTTTAAAGGCTGTTTTCATGTCTATCCTATGGTTAGTTTCTAGAAAAAGGTTAAGCGATAGACGAAGATGGATGTTTGTCACCTGCACTTATCGGATCTGTTGAGGTCATTTGTTTTTGTAGCCAATAAGGTACATGTTCAACCTTCCTTAACTGCATATCACGATTACTCCTCCCTATATATGTGTCCACACATACATGTAAATTGATAAACACAGTGGGATGTGATATATTCGTTTATATGTTGGTTTGTGCTGTAACATGGACTTGGTCTTCTTTACAATGATTACCTTGGCTGCATAATACCTTTTACAGATGGTCTTTTCCTCACAACAAAGCTATGTGAATCACCTCTAAGTGGTAATGAGATGTAGACATTTGTCTTAACAAAGGAATAGTGTACTTTTCAATGGTACATAACTTTTGCACCTGTCGATAAATCTCAACGGGTTGTCGTCAGTAAGTTGGTTTCTTCCTACCTGATGTCATCGGTGCAGATGCGGTTTATCCTGTTGAATAAGCATCTAACTAAACCATGTTTATATTGGACTGGGCAACAGCTATGGAAATTAAGATATTGCCCTGTCCATGTAGGTTTCTTATAGATCGATCTCCTGATCGAGCCATCCTCCCGTCGACTGAGCAATACATCTAGGAACGGTAGCTGGTTGTTCGTCTCTTGTTCACAAGTCACATTAACCTGACTTGTGAACAACAGACGAACAATCAGCGATTTCAACACATATTAGTATAAGTTTACAAAATCCTCAAATAGCTTTATTTTCTATATTGTGGATAATTTCAATGCAGTCCAGTTCACCACAAGAGACAATGCTTAGAAGATGGGAATGAATGAATACCTATAATCTTGATGATCATATTTTAGTTTCACCGTATGTACTCGATCTATGGCAGGTAGTCGGAAATCTTGTAGTGACATGTATGGTGTAGGATGGTAAAGTTAAAGCAACCTTACTATAGCCAATGTAACTCTTCGAACGGATATGGACAGGGATGCCGACAAGAGTCGTTCCTAGTGAACACTAGCAATACATACTTGCTAGATACTCTCTTTACAATCATACACTACCATCATCATCATCATCATTATCAACATAGGACCAGGCATTACTGCGTAACGGTCCGAGTTGCCACACCTCATATCAGCACATCAAGTAAAAAGGTAGTGAGGTGAAGGATGAAGATAAGTGAATGCAGTCAAAAGAAATATAAAGTACGAGAAGAAAGGAAAGAGGAGTGACAAAATAGTGAGATTCGGTATAGCGTTGTTAAGATGAGGATAATGTGTGTATACATCTGCGCCACTGACTTCGGTTCTGAGCCATATCACCTAGGGTCTCCAACCACTGGTTCCTCTTGTCCCGTGGACCCCAACCACCTAGTCTGCATCGTCCTACATGGCTTAAACCAACAGTCAGAGACTTCATACATTGGTGCCATGTTTTAGTCTGGCCACCTCGGGCCTTTTTCCAGCCTGAACCCACCTCAGCCAACATTGTGTGACGAGGCAATCGGTGACTAGGCATACGTAGTACGTGTCCCAACCATCTCAGTCGATGAAGGTTCACAACCTCGTCGACTGACTTACCTCTTCTCCCTAAAACTCTACACCTAACTTCTGCATTACTCACATGGTGACACCACGGAATACGTCCTATACTACGAAGGCAACGGTGGTCAAATACCTGTAACCTTCTCATGTCTTCCACTTTCAATGGCCATGTTTCACAGCCATACAGTAGAACAGAGCGGACTGCTGTGCAGTACACGCGACCCTTAATAGACAAACGAATATCACGGCGGCGCCATAGGTGGCGCAAATTGGCAAAAGCCAATCGAGCCTTTTGTATCCGTGCAGAAATCTCATCGGCAACTAACCCACCGGAGTTGATCCTACTTCCCAGGTAAGTGAAGTGGTCAACACACTCAACCACTTCACTCTCTATTGTTAACCGCGGTACCGCTGAAGACCAGTCCTGGAGCAAAAATTTGCATTTGGGTGGTGAAAATCGCATCCCAAACATTCTCAAATTCCCACTCAAAGTGTTCAGAAGACTCTGCATCTTGTCAGCGTCTTCACCTAACAGGACTATGTCATCTGCATATTCTAGATCTAAGGAAAATTCACCTGTGATCCGGTCAACGTCTTTGTAATTAGGTGACGAGAGGGAAACCTCCATAAGAATATCTATGATAAAATTAAATAAGAATGGGGATAGTGGGCATCCTTGACGGACACCACTTGATGAGTATAGCTCCCTGGACAACTCACCATAGGCTCTAACATGCCCACAAGTGTTCGAGTAGAGAGCTTTCAATAAGGTGATGTACTTACTAGGCACGCCTTTCAGTGACAGACACTGCCATAAGACTTCTCGATCAACGGAGTCAAATGCCGCCTTCAGGTCGAGAAATACAGCTATTGTCGGGCGTCTGTAAGCATGCCTATGTTCCAGGACCTGGCGCAGTGTGAATATTTGGTCGATACATCCACGGCCAGGTCTAAAGCCTGCCTGGTTTTCTCGGGCTTGCTGTTCCCGAGCTCCACTCAGGCGTCGGAGAATTATAGAACTTAGGATCTTAGACACTATGTTTGTCAGGCTGATTCCTCTGTGGTTATCACAAGAGGACTTCTCGCCTTTCTTGAAGACTGGGATGATCAGTGACTTAGACCAGTCGGAGGGGATCGTATTTGATTCCCATATACTGGCTAACACTTCCGTTAGCCTGACTAAGAGAACTCTTAGAACTCATACACTACCATAAAAACCTCAGTCAACAAACTCAAATGCCAACTTCAGACATATAAATGTGGTAAGTGTTGTGGGCTGGTGAAGCTAACAAACAAATATAGCATCACTAGTTGTTCATACTGACCTTTTTTTATATATTTTCTTGCCCTGGATACGTGGGTAGATATATAGATAGACAGATACGTAATATCAGCATAGCAACTGGCCTTACTATCATTTAACAAATCAATACCTGGGTATCCTGGATAGAATGGTTAAAGGTTGGTGGCAGTGATACAGAAAGACTAGTTCTTTTCAGTTTTTGATACAGTAAAAATGTGTTATCTCTGCCTATATTCCTTTTCAACAGCTTCCAGTAACACACATATCCTCCAACTGGAAATTTCGGCTAATTTTTAGTGTGGGATACGCATCATCATGACAAGTCAGACCAACTACTTTTGACATTGAACTCTAAAGGCACACAACCTATAACTATGAATACGGAGAAAAAATTGTTAACAGTCTGGTTTGGGGACTGAAGTTGTATGTAGTGGAAACATACCTTCACACTGACTTGTGGGGTGACAGAATTGAATACCAATTGTCCACAAACAAACGTTAACTGTTAAGAATAACTGAAGCCGTGATAAAACTTGATGCAACAACAATTATATATTAGTATACAAATAACCAAAACCATGGATTGCAACTTAGCAACTATATGTGGGTTCATGCAAGAGCCTTAGAGTTATGCTAGTAATGTGAGGGACAGTAATACCACTTGGTTACTTAAGTCTCGACAGGTGAATTGTGAATGGGACCCACTAGACCAAAAAATATTGCACTAAACTTCTTATAAACACTTAAATAACTAGCAATATATATGACAGATACACAATCCAGGAAATATGTTTACATTCCGGAATTTATATCCTCAGTCCAGAAAACGTCTTTATAAAGCTTGGATTTTGATGTAAGGCTACAGGTTCTGTTAGAAAAAAAAATCTGTTTGTCAGTGGACAAGCGTTGATCATAAGCCGTGAATGAAACGAATATGCATAGTAATCTCTAACGTTAACCTGGCAATTTTGAGGACATTAAGCCTGGATTATTTGAAACATAATAAATTCACGTTTTATAAAATTACCTTAAGGTTTTCAGGCATTTTTGGACTGGCTGCCCCACAGCCATCAAAGGACAAACTGCTGTCATCATATATCAGGCCTTCTTGATAACGCAAAGAAAACCCGCAACGCTTGAACTGGAAGTATTAAGGCATTCGTTTGGAAGAAATTTACCCCAGACTCCTTCAACATGCAAGAACCCAACTGTGCAAGAGTTATGTACCCAGTTCGGTACTTAGAACAGGTAGTAGGAGCCAATAAAACGGAGAAGTGATACTTAAAACCATCAGAACTCTATGTAAATGTTAAGTATTGGGATGTGAGCATACAGTCAGTAAGGTTTCGTTCGCATCAAACGCTACATATTTATATGGATCACTTGAATACAAATTGTAGAAATTCACCAACGTCGGCAGTAAGTGTTCAAGTGGCCTTTTTTCCTGGGTTTTAGAATCCCCACTGTAATATGTCTTATCATCACCAATTAAAAGAGCTAATAAGACGGAGAGGGTTATCATATTGGTCAGGGTCAAGCTGCAAACGACCTCGAGATTCAAACTTCAAACTTCGTGTTGTAGAATTAGTGAACTGCGGTTCCTTGAGTTCTACGTCTGTCTTATTGGAATAAGTTCCGAGTTTGAAATGGTCACAATTATCTTCCAGGTTCATAAAAACCTGAAAGGATAGAGATAGGATTCATTAATTTATCTGGTCTCAAGGTAGTATTACTGCATCTGATTTGGGGGAGCTTCTCGAGCTCAGCCCATCGGCACCGTAGGACTCGAGGTGTGCGTCCAGCCTCCTTCTAAAAGTATCGGGGGATAGGGCTGTAACAACTGCTGAAGGGAGGTAATTCCATAGTTTACAGACTCTAACTGCAAATGAGTTAGCACAGATCTTTGTACGTGCTCTCTCATGCTCTATTCTTAACTTGTGACCCCTCAGGTCGCGTTTCCGACTAAAGCTTATAAGGGATCTGTTGGGATGGAGGAGATTATGGACGGTGTGGTACATCATGATCATATCCCCTCTAATCCTCTGGTATTGCACTGGGTGCAGCTGAAGAGTAACTAAGCTGTCTGGGTACGGTTTATGCCGCAGCCCAATCACCTTCTTTGTAGTTCTTCTCTGTACCCCTTCTAGGGTGGTCATGCCTTTTTTTAAGTATGTGGACACCACGAGCGAATTTTTTTCTAGATGAAGGCGAGTTTACAGGGCATACACTGTGGTGAAAAGAGGAGTTAGACACCCTACGGTTCGCGAGAGAAACCCCCAGGAATCCACAAGCCCTATTGGCTGCATGGTGGCAGTGAACTGAGTCTCTCAGTGTATCGTTTGGTGTGACTCCCTCTATCATTCAGCATCCAACGATATTGGTGTGAGCATAAAGGACTGAGAATTCCTAAATCTCATGTCTAGGTCTTCAGGCTTTTTTCTATGTGTTTGGTTATTCCATTACGGTGGCTACCAGAGCCTCTCCAGTCTTTTTGCTAATATCCTTAGAGTCGGTGTTTTCCTGGTGCGAGGTTTTCTGCAAATCACATACTAGCCATTACAGTGCAGTAACTGAGCTGCCGATAAGATCTGTGAACCTCACGCGACTCCTCTGCGCACAGGAACTTGTAAGTAAGCGTTAAAGGGTTATTTTCAAGATAATTGGAGCTGTTTTGTGTGCTGTTATGGGGGGGTGGAGAAAAGTGGTGAGAAACCTTAATGAAGAATGTTAATGTTGCTAGAAGCAAAACGAAAACGGCATGATAAATATTGTATACCCCAGGGTCAGATAGCAAGGGGACGAATAAGTGTATCTTTAGTGATGGCAGACATTAGTCGTAACTTCTGCCACTTCCCCAGAAGATCTTATGGGGTTTTGTATCTTTCAATTATTCGTATCGATGTCTAGGTCCTCAGACTCATCGTTCATGGACGTGGAAGCCAGTTGGGCGAAAAGCTGTTCTATTCCACCAATTACTGTACTCAAATCGTGAAGCAGAGGCGTATCGTTGTGACATTGGGCAGGTAAACAGTTGGTGTCTTTTAGTGGTCACAGTTGTACCGGGTCTCCTAATACTTATCCGTTCTCCTTGTTTATATTGCTTTCGAAAATAGGCACATATAGAGCTGTCCACTCGAAGCCTTCATCCTTGAAACTAATATTTTTGCAACAAATTGTCTGCGGAACGCGCAATCCTTAATTGGCCGCTGCTGTCACTCTCCAAATGAATGAACGCCCGGTTTTTCCAGCCGCTGTACCTTAAGTTGTTGCATCGAAGCACTGCATGCCTCATTTGGTCATACATCTTAGACTTATACATTTTTCAAAGTTATACAGTTATGGCTAAAGTTAAGGTTGACAACCTATGTTTGACATCATAGATTTTCTTTATACTTGACCTACGTTTTTTACCTTGCTTTCTGCCTCGTCTACTTATCGAAAATGTAACGGCGATAACTTTGTCAAATCTGGTTCAAAGAGCACCTCAGTGAATCCTCACCTCCGTTACTGGCAACACTTTTCTTCCTATTAACTGGGCTGGGACTAGGAGATGTTAAACTAGGTTGAAGGACCACTGGTCGACCTTATTGAAACAGTCAGGAACAACAGCTCTAGGAAAAGCCATCATTGAACCGTTTGACCTCGGTGACGATCGGCTTACTTGTAGCCAGAATGGTTGCAGCCCTTTGGCCTAATGATTGTAAAACTTAAGTGCACTGCCAATATGGTAACGACGGGCCAGACCAGTATACGCCCTCATGGCACGTCATCCATCTGCTTGGTTCAGTGCTGCATTAGGACAATCTTGGTTGCATGCCCACTGAGGAAGTCTGTAAAAGGCACTCCAGTGGCCGTTCAGGCGCCAACACCTATAAAAACCACCATAACAAGTGACTGTTCAAAAACAAAATGTAAGTGACGTTTCATTCACGGTCACACCTATGGGTATCCAAAAACGGCCGGTTGACTGCATCAGCGCTACACTCTGGGGATGCTGTGACGGCTACCTCTGCTGCGCATCATGGAAACCTGGCAGAAGCGGGGGAGAAGGAACAATGCTCCCATAAAATCCCACCAACAGCGCGCAATAGCAGGGGTGTTGTTTTTAGGCTGAGATGCGTCATCTCGTTCAGCGTTACTGTACCTCATGAAAGTCTTCGCCGGAAAGGCAAATCTCTTGACAAGTAGTGGCGGGAAGCTGACCAGGAAACCTATGGGCAAAACCATATCAGCTTCACAAGGGCAATCACTCAACTCCAGGAAGGCCTCTTCCCATGAGGATGGCCATGAGCTCGACGAAGGAGCCTGAAGAAATCCCCCTCTTGCTCGACCATCCGACCATCAGGCTGTCACCCTGTATTAGGGCTACGTCAGATGGGTATGGTTAACGAAAAGAACAACTCGAGAGGAGCCCCACACGGTACATCAAAATTAATGGCCGGCATAAGAGGAGAAAAATTTGTTGGTGACATTCATCAGTGGCACTGGTTGCCGGCGATGACGGGGTTAAATAGAATGCCGGCGGAACCGATATGCAGATTCCAGCGTCCTTCACATCCGATAATGGCGCCGCCTCAGAGGTCGTAGCTGGAAGGCAGCACGCGTAGCACGTAGTTCAGGACAACGTCAACAGGAACGCCCACCATTGAGAAAGTAGTCCCAGGACACCACGAAAACAACAGACAACAGTCTCCCACTACGCTGAGTTCACCGCTACTGTGAACAGATACGATAACGTCCAAACTGACCTTCACTCAATGATAAGTCCAGAAACTAGTGTGGGTGCAAACCCCACTGGACTGGTTCCACTAGGACTGGCCAGGCGGTAACGACTTTTACCACTGCATACAAACCCCAGAGCCCCACTGCCACCAATAACAAACGACAGTAAATATTTTATTCCCGAATTATGGATCTAACATGAGAGAAGCCGATTCGCAGGCATCTTCAAACAGATAATGGCGGCGAAATCTGCACTAATTGAGTTGTCCCGACTGATACGGAAGGGACGACATCAAAGTTTATCATAGTATCAAGTGTCTACGGGGTACGAAAAGAACGGGAAAGCATTAATTTACGGTTCATACAGGTTGTTCATGAGTTTTATTCGTTCCCGCTCACCATTCTTTTTTCATAATAAAGTGGCACGAAAGTCGAACAGTATTCGACGTTTGCGTTACATGTGGCTGGGATGTTTAACCCGTCTGCACAGTCCCGTATTTCTTCTCGTGAAAGTTTATTTTAACACTAATTCACATAGTTATGGTACCACTGGTCAGCAATAACTCACTTCATCGATTCCAGGAAACAGCGAGTGTTAGCATAACCATACAACGCACGTTAATGTATAAGTCCTCGCATTTCCCACTCGTAGTGTGACCCTGCTCAGCAATACAGATGTAATCCATCAGACGTGGTTGTTCCTGTACAAAGAAATAAACATTTGAAGAACTATTATCTAATAGTGATGGAGTTTTGCACATAGAATTCGTGATGAAGCATGCAGCATTATCAAGGAGGTATATTGGCTGTTGTCTTCTATGAAATGGGGTCAAATGAGATGAAATACTGGGGAGGTTTGTTTGCGAACATGTCTCACGGAGTTTCTAGGTGAGTTCATTTCTTAAACTTAGTTGCTTGTCCAGATTTTCGCCGCCATTATGACCGTCCAGAAGCCTTAGATCATCCATTGTGGTTGATTTTTCGCACATGGTTGCATCTAGGATGTTGGCAACAGAACGAGTTTGCTGTGGAACGTTTCATAAAGTTGAAAATCAGTAGGGGAAGACCAGTTGAAGGATTCTTCTGGCAATTTCTGGCTTCAAGAGTGAAGTAGTATATTCAGTAGGTTGGCAATTTCGGTCAAAATTATGCTCAAGATTTTCTCTCCAAACTTAGGCTGAAAAGAAAAGGAGAAGAGGGAAGCACAGGCAGAAACCGAAAAGTGATATACCACACAAGAAGAAATTGGGAAGAGAGAAGTTCCTATTTACAGAGAGACGCTCGAGCTGTGTGTACACTTTAATTCATGCATATAAAATGACTCTTATGATTTTCCTAGGTAAAATCTGAACAAGTTTTTGGATAAACCGTGTTTACTTGTAGACGTGCGGGTAAAGCTGACTCTGCATCAAAGTGATATGTGCTTTACTAATGTGTACTTTACTGACTATACAACCTAAGCTAGCGTAAGGCAGTCAAACGCCCCGTGCAATAATGTTAGGGCCTATTAAGGAAAGAGTACTTCGGACCAGTGATATCCTTAATTTACTTGTTTAGGGGTCCTAGTATGTTTTCATTAGCCCAGAACGTATATATAATGACCAAACGAGTGATAGACTCGTTGTCTGCGAGGAGCTTATTAAGATGATGTGTCTATTACACGTCCAAGCACTGTCCATACGTTCTGGGCCAACGAAAGCACACTGGGACTTCCAAACGCATAAATTAAGGCTAGTGCGAATCTCAAATGCTTTTTACCCCAATGGATTCGCAAAGGGTGTTAGATTGCTAGTTCGTCTGGTTGAATCATACAGTACAAATACAGCGTTCCCCTTAACTAAAAAATGTCTATCTAAATACTGGTGTGAACTTAAAGTAAGGAAAACAGAAGATTTATTCTTATATGCGTAAACTGAAGCTTACATATAGTTTGATTGACCCTAAGAAGACGAGAACTCTCCTCACAGTCTGTCTTGTATGGTGATTCATTATCTAATTTCTCCTTAAGCCTTCTTTTCTCTTCTCTTTACGGTGCCGACCCGACGAGGAAATCCTGAGCATTAATTTGATCAAAATATATCAACTTACTGAAAATCTTACTTCGCACCTAATACTGGAAACTGATGCTAGAATTCTTTATCTAGCTTGCCCCCGATTTCCTATTTTTGAACAGCTTCACAATCAACTCACCTGCCTACCAGTGCCCTAAAAACAATCACACACGAAACCTCAAGCACAATAACTGGTCTCCGACTTCTGGTCCGTCACAAATGCAGCGGAAGTCTGGATAAACAACTAAATCTGATGGAACACTTTACCTAAAGGTAATACTTCCACAATAATGCTGTACAACAGATTTCTGTTGAACTTCATCTTGTATAAATCCATCTAACAGAAACCGGTTAACAGCCAATGCATCCCCTGAACAATTCTAGATACTTCAGTGTGAAATCTACGAAGTTTTACATGTATGTGAAATCCACTACTGTTGAACGACGGTTCTTCTAATGTTTAATTGCTTGCACCACGGCAAATATTTTCGATGTTATCAATCTGAAGTAGTGGGAAGGATAACACTTGAAGAGTGGGAAACGCTTGAACTTAGATATTCACCCGGATCAAATGATTGTATGGATACTTACTGATTCCTGAAATCATTGGAGTAGGTTATTATTGGTCAATAAAGCTACCAACAAATGAATTGTCGTTAAAATCGACATTTGTCTGACGAAAAACTGGGTTTTGCAGGCAGGCCAATCACGTTGGCTACTCATGACGCAAGCACCGAATATTGCGTGGATTTGATGCCATATTAGTGTGAAAAATCTTATGTAGGCATGATCTAAACTCAGAAGGATGTTTATGTACTGTAAAGTAATATTTTCCTGCCCTCTTCATAACTTTCACACGCTCGACATCATGAAGGAGTTTAATGTCATCCCTCCTGTACCATTCAGCACTTTTCAAATCTTTTTGGGTTTCTCCGCCTTTAACGGTTTGGAGATGCCGGGAAACCGGCTTCTCTCATGTTAAATTTGAAAACTGCAAATAAAATATCTAGTTATTTATTTAATGCTCAAAGGGTGTGCCGAATTTCTGATCGGCCCACCAGCATACCTCTTAAGGTGCTCGTTTGTCGTTCGAAATAAGTGGCTTCTGTCTCAGAATATGATGGTGGAAATTACTATTCGCTCTTTGCTACAGACCAGTTTCCCTGTTTTCCCCAGTTGTGAATGTTGTGGAACGAGTAATAAGTTATTATTAATGATTACTTACATAAGAATTCAACCTTAAACGGCTGTTATGTAAGGCCGACTTGTTGATAGCTTGGAATAGCCGGACCCCCTCCGTCGAGCAGAAAAGATCTACTCATGATGGCTTATTTGACTCTTCCAAAGCATTTGACAGGGAAAATCATGGTATCCTGTGCAAGAAACTTCCCCCCATTAGCACACACGGAAAGTTACCAATTTGGCTTTGAGATTGCTTTTACACTAGGTTGCGGTCGGTTACAACTAGAGGTGTAATCCTGGAAAAACTCACTCGTGGTATTCCCATACTTGAAGAAGGACACAGCTATCTTATAACAGGTTCAGAGAAGAGCTGCGGAGAAAACGGTTGGTTACAATAAGAACCTTACCTAGATCGCTTGGTTACTCTTAAGGCGGATCCAGTGCAATACCGAGGGATCAGAGGGGATATGAATATTATGTACCACGTGGCCCATAATCCCCTTCATCCCAGTAGATTCCTTTTAAGCTTTAATCAAAAGGACAACCATAGGGGGAACCAGTTAAGGGTAGAGTACGAGAGAGCACGTACAATGCTTTGTGCTAGCTCGTTCGCAGTTACAGCTAGTAGGCTGTGAAACCCCATTCCTTCTGGGGTTGCTACAACCCCATCTCACAAAACTTATAAATGGAGCTTAGATGCATGCACAGTCTTGTGGTACCGATAGGCTGTACACGAGAAGCATTCCATCATCTGCAGATCAGGACGGGCAATACAACCCAGACACCAGACCATCTAACAATCGATTATCAGCATCCCTACAGGTTTTGATGAACAAAGAAGACAATTGTGGCCGGTCTAAAACTTAGAACATACTCCAATAAGACAGACTTAGAACTCTAGAAACCATCGTTCACTAATTCCCCAACAGGAAGTTTGAAGTCTCTAGTTTTATTTTGATTGCTTGTCCTGATGACCTGAAATTTGACTTTCTTGACGTTTCTCATTGGCTCGTAAATCTAGTCGATACTTCCGCTGATTGCAGACTGGCCTGAAGAGCAATCTTCTAAAAATTCTCTGGCATCCTTTGTAATTCCTCTTTCCACGTCAAATTTTAGGTCCTCAGGCCAACCAGTCAAAAGGACATAGACAGTGAGAAGAACTTAGCATTAGCGACCAACTACGCACAAGGCCACTAAATAAATACGGGGAAATCTCACTACTCACTTCCATCTGCCATTCGTGCTGACAGTGTTGTCTAGAATGACAACGAAAACCCCGCGATTAAAAGGTGTAGCGTCACACACCTCCCAAAACCAATGGCCTAGGGTCAGACGTAATTCAACATTGATGCTGACCTTGGTAGTTTACCTAAACTCGCTAAGGTGAAGGCACCCGGTCAAGCATCCTCACCATTTGGCACGCTGTCGTGTTATGTTGCACTGCTCGTATTCGACTCTCTAGACAGTTAGTTGGAACGTATCGGCATCTTGGCACAACCACCCAAATATACTATCCCATCCCACTACGCTGTCGTGTTCTTCCTTGGTCTCGTATTCGTGGGTATATAACAAGTCCGAATAATTAGTGATTGGTCTTTGCGTCTGTCAAGTTCGCACCAGGACAAATCCTAAAAAGGCAATCCATCTCGAATAACTCAACCTCATCAAAATTATCCTTCTGAGCCAAAAATATCCTCAGTCATAATACTGAGTTCCTCCTTATAACAGACCTCTTTCCTGTTTTCCATGAATCCACTTGGGTTTCTACTTTCCTTTGGTCCTCCTACATTTTTATCTTCCCGTTCCTGGTTTCCTTTGGGGATCTTGTAATAATTTCCACCTTCTTTCTACGACCAGTTCAAACAACAGTCTAAAGATTTGACACTCGGGGAACCCATCTGCTTCAAAGCCCTTGCATAATTCATAAAACGCCTATAAATATAATTAATACTCACAGGACAGTCAGGTATATCAGAGCTACAGCAGCCGGGTGAGTAGATACATGACATGAAACAACAGCGAAAACCTAGAACCATTTCTGGAAGACAAAAAGAGTGCAAAGAAATCAATTAGTTTACCAAGCTAGGAAAAGGATATTGGATGCTGTACATTAGAAACATCTGAGTGACCTTTGTAATCAAATTCAGGATTCTCAAGGTCATCTGGTCTGCAAATTTTATCTTTCTGTTGAAAAATACTGACTTCATCGTCTTGCTAATTATTTTAACTTTGATTCAATAACGAGACTTATTTGTTTTCTTTACTGTTACTATACTTTCAAAGATAATTTACAGGCACTCCTGGAAACAGTCAATTATCATTATCATTATGTATCACCGTAGTAGCCTCTACAAAGGGACTGCACGAGTAACAGGGTGCTAATAAATGTCTATATCACTATAAAATGGTATGAGGTATTACATCTGTCTCATGCGCACATGTTGACAACTATAATATTATAGTTGTCATTAATGATCATTATAGCCTAGCAAGTTTCTGGAAATAATGCTTACAAATGAGTAGTTAATGTGGGTCAATGGATTCATTTTGTATGCGGAAATAATACTGAAGGACGAGATTTAAGCGGATTGTTTCGGACTACTCGCATAATTTACGCACTTGCAGCATAATTTAAGTCTGCATGTGTAAACGTAGCTTTATTCACGGGTAATTCTCGCACTACCCTCACTATTTACGGATCATTTCCGTGTTATTTACTCAATGCTCGCCGTATTTGCGGATAGATCTCATCTTATTGATACGCTTCTCGACTCATTTGCAGACTTATTGATATGATATAAACTACATGGTATGGTAGCGTATATATATATATATATATATATATATATATATATATATATATATATATATATATATATATATATATATAGTGGTTAGATATGTACAAGTCTGGAAGTTTTGAAGGTAAGTATTCATTGTATTTGTCAATATCGCGAACATTCTGTGGAGAAAAAAATAAGATGTTTACAGTGCACATGAAAACCGTAACTTAGTTATTAAAGTAAATTTAAATTTCGAAAGTTCACATACCTTTTCTGGTTGGTCATCCGATACGCTCAAAAAACACCACTGTAAAGGAAATATGAAATAACGTAGTAGGTGTCAGTCACATGCATACATAAAAAATGAATAGCATACACCATTGAACTTGCAAAGGCTTTTGCCTTTAAACGCCGAACTACCTTATGCCGGATGTTTGGGAAATAGGATTTTGTAAACGCGGCCATCTTGTCCTCAATTTCTCGCGAACTTAGAAGTTATAACAGCTATAAGGAGCATAGTGATAAAGGTGAATCTTACACCTCATAATTTTGTAGAAATCATACCTCACTATCTCCGCCTTTCGTGAAATCTTCAGCATAATAAAAAGCATGCCAAGACCTGGTCGCAATACAGCGTTCATCATTACCTTTAAAGATGACTCCAGCTCATCTTGTACCTTGGCCATCACTTTCACTGTCTGCAAATTTCGATTTTAATGATTGTAACTCACAAATATTCCTCGAAAGTGTTCATCCTTCAAGAACTCTCCCAGAAATTCCAACTTTTCCTCCGTAACCATTGGGAAGTGGACATAGAAGTCGTCGCCGGAAATTACGTTAAAGGGTGATGTGTTTATGGTGTCCACCGTAAGAATGGACAGCATTTTCGATATTTTTATAATTTCAGTAATTCCATCTGCTTAGTATTAGAATTATGAATTTAGACTTATGCATGATTTTTGACAGGAAGACGTGCAGCTCTTTGATTAAGGGTTCAATTGATGAGGACCTAGGAGTAATTGACTTTAACTGTTATTTAAACTTACTGGCTGGAAATAAGGTCCGCATTACGTGTAGGTACCAGTACAGGAGAAGAAGCAGCAAACTTCTTTCACTAGAAATGCTGTAGAACGTTGGACAACAGTCGGTAACCTACTTTGAGATTGATGACAGCAGCGGCTGAAGGTAGCTCGTCATTGGGTATTTACGTAAACCATATGCTGCCTGCATTCCAGCCGCCTCAATATCCACCGAGTTGTTTAGAAAATCCGAAGAAGGCTTCTTAGATCCCCTAAAGGCTCATTAGTGCTTAACATTTGCTTCAATTTCTAGCTTTCTTCACCCATTTATGCAGTGTGTCCTCTAAAATTTCTGAAGTTGATTCAGTCAGTCTTCTGACCATGGTCAGTAGTTTCAAAAGCTTTTCAGCTTCCGCCAGTGAGTCTGAATTTAAGGTTACAGTAAATTCGGACTTACCGCACCTGGAGTTTTTTTGCACTTGATGAAAGACCACTCTGGACCTTCGAAGTGGTCAACCATCAGACGTTGAAGTTTAACCTTTGGGTTATACATGCACAACCTACCACGAAACATTCAAAAACTGTGGACGATGAGTAAAGTATCTTCTGACAACTGGATCAGAAAGTATTTCATATCTTCTAAGCCCTGTAAAAATAAAAAAATAATTTCATGCATTCAGTTACCTATTTTTTGGTGTGCAGAAGTACAACTATTCCCTCGGATTCATGCATGTGAGATTCAAGCTTTACCATTATAAAAAGTATGGCTTAATGGAATAATAACCCCATAATTTCGTTTGCAGACGGCAATAAACTTAGAAGTGATTGCCGTCACAGGTATCCAGAGTGATTCATGGCTCACTGATATATATATATATATATATATATATATATATATATATATATATATATATATATATTCCTGTTCAAGAGATCGTGGTTCACTACTACCTTTCGGCAATTTTTCAACACTAGTTGGGATATGAAGAATAATCTAATGCAGATGAAGCAGCATTCCATCTGCAGCAGCGGCACTCATGTTAAGGTTGAGCAGCATTTCCATGACTATTTGCCGGACACCCTCCTACTCTGTGGTTAGTGTGATTGTGCTGTCTTCAGCAGCTTCACTGGAAGCAATCTCAGGTTCCACAATTGAACGTGACGCGCCAACAGTGGGAGAGGCAACCTCTGATACTTCTGTAGCCTATTAACATAGCAATAAGACATTCACCAACTCCTGCTGCAGCAGACGTCAAATGGTTTAAGTTCGCTACACGCGACTTAGCACAAATGGAGTCAAAAAAACTTTTTGTGTCTTCGATAAAAATTGGAAACTTAACAGTATACTGTAGAAAAAGCCAAGTATGCCACATTCTTGTGATTTTCATAGCGTAGTGTATTGCAAACTGGAAATGAGATTCATGAGTGTGCAACATAGATTTAAGTGATGACTTAGGATCATCACACATCTTGGCCAGCACATGCACAGTTTGCAATTCGTAGTTTGAAGAAGTGAAACTTACAAACATGTTACGAAACCTCTGATCCAGGAGGGGTGTTTCCTTTACATGTAGCTACTCCTCACTTCCCAGTGGGAAGTCAAAACAAAACTCATCGATAGTAGATTTTGCACACCAGCTACGTTCTATTGTATTAGTCATTATCTTCAGCTGTTGATTCCTAGCATCTAGTGAACTTCGCGACTTTTACAAAATGTTTTCTAAAGGTTGCTGTTAACTTTCTTCAGTGGGTAAAAATCTAGTATTAGAAATATGGTTATCAGGCTTAAGCTTACTGAGCACTTCCACCGCTGCTAGTACATGACTGGCGATAAATATACTAATTCCGTTATAGTTCAGGTGCTTCAAATCAACAATTGTTGAAGTGCTTATTGCCCTATAGGTTACAGCAATGGTTATACATACACATGATAATCCAAATGTGTGCTACTCATATGCACGTTTAGAGTCTAATTTACATTTTGGTGGTGAGAAACGCTTTATAAACATTCTCAAACTGTCACTGTAGGTGTCCAGTATACCCTCCATCTTCGCCTAACAAGACTATATCATCTGTGTACTCTAGGTTCTATAAATTTTCTCCTATGATAAGATCAATACCCATGAAGTCATCACAAAAAGATCTCCATAAGTGCTTCCGCGACAAAGATGAATACGAATGAAGAGAGTGGATATCTTTGACGAACGCAACTCACCTAATAAATCACCAAAGACGCTAACGTACGCACGGGTTTTCGGGTACTTACAACTGCTCTTAGTGATAGACTTCCTTGAAACCTCTCGATTGACTGAGTCAAATACCCGCTTCAGGTCGAGAAATACAACTAGTTTCGGGTGTCGGTAAGTGCACCTGTGTTTCAGAACCTGGTGGAGAGTAAATATCTGGTTAATACATCCATGACCATGTCTAAAATCTGCCTGGTTTTCTCTGGTTATTTTGAACTTTTGTATTCTTGGGGCCGACCTTTTCTAGCCTCCCCTTTCACTGAAAAGGCAGTATCAGCATGGCACTGCTGGTCATCCAAGGGAAACACCTTACTGCTTTCACGCCCCATCCAGCTAGTAGGAGTACGACTTCCCCCTCAGACCCCCATCATAGTGTAGTAAATTACACCACAACGGCAACTGCTTTTCGTCTAACCACTATCCAACATACCTTTTTGGTATGGTAGGACCACCAGCATAGCTCGTCGGGCCATTGTGATATGTAAGCCCGACCACCACGTCAAGGTAGCAGCTATCGGTCAAATAACCAAAATAACCATACACAAAAGGCTGCGTGTGACTGGCCTCAAGTAGATGTCTGATGGGCTCTGCGGTCACACAAATCTGTACCAGGTGCCTTAAGAAGAAATAGTCTTTCACGGTATGGCCAGCCGGGAAGTGTCAACCGCCCTCACAACTCGATCAGAACTCAAGTTTCCTCAGACTGCTATCCACCTCCCCCATCATTACCTTCTAATGTTCCTTCACGTCTCTCAACTAACGATACTACATCATCTTCAACTTCTCCTAGCTCTGCAACCTTTGACAACGATCTGAGTTCACAAAACAGCATCCTTGATCTCATTAAGCCACTCTCCAAATTACATATTGGAGCCTTCAATGTCCACACCCTCCGTCGAATTGGTCAACAGGCTTCATTGGCCAAGACTAGCAACTCGGGGCATGGATGTGTGCTGTGTTTGTGAGACACTCATACAGGACCCAAGTGCGGTTATTCACCTGACCTCTCCTGCCCAATCAGGTGAATCCGTGAAATTAACGCTTCGAGTTTCTGGAGATTGGATATCTAGCTCTCGCGGTTTTGCAGGTGTATGCATTGCACTAAGCAC